GACCCATAACAAGGTCTGAAGTTGAGGCAGCAATTAAGAGCTTACCACCCAAAAAAAGCCCAGGTCCAGACGGGTTCACAGCCAAATTCTACCAGACATATGAAGAGGAGCTGGTACCATTCCTTCTGAAACTATTCCAAACAATACAAAAAAAGGGAATTCTTCCCAAATCATTTTATGAGACCAACATTATCCTGATTCCAAAACCCGGTAGAGACTCAACAAGAAAAGAAAACTTCAGGTCAATATCCATGATGAACATAGATGCAAAAATCTTCAATAAAATACTGACAAGCCGATTGCAACAGCACATAAAAAAGCTTATCCACCATGATCAAGTAGGCTTTATCCCGGGGATGCAAGGCTGGTTCAACATACGCAAGTCTATAAATGTAATTCACCATATAAACAGAACCAAAGACAAAAACCACATGATTATCTCAATTGATGCAGAGAAGGCCTTTGACAAAATTCAACAGCCCTTTATGCTAAAAACCCTCAATAAGCTAGGTATTGACGGAACGTATCTCAAAATAATAAAAGCTATTTACAACAAACCAACAGCCAATATCATACTGAATGGGCAAAAACTGGAAGCATTCCCCTTGAAATGTGGCACCAGACAAGGATGCCCTCTCTCACCACTGCTATTCAATATAGTATTAGAAGTTCTAGCCAGAGCAATCAGGCAAGAAAAAGAAATAAATGGTATTCAAATAGGAAAGGAGGAAGTCAAATTGTCTCTATTTGCAGACGACATGATTGTATATCTAGGAGACCCCATCGTCTCAGCCCAAAATCTCCTGAAACTGATAAGCAACTTCAGCAAAGTCTCAGGATACAAAATCAATGTGCAAAAATCACATGCATTCCTATACACCAATAACAGACTTAAAGAGAGCCAAATCAAGAACAAACTTCCATTCACAATTGCCACAAAGAGAATAAAATACCTAGGAATACAACTAACAAGGAACGTAAAGGACCTCTTCAAGGAGAACTAATCACATAGTATTATTGGAATAGTATTTAATATCTGGTTCATATCTGAATGTTTCTAATTGAATCAAAATATTTTTCTTGTAGCATATTTATTTAATTCAGCATTTAAATAGGCTCAAGCATTCATTTTGGTTGTTATGTATTATATACCTATTTTACTCTCCATTTTTTTATTCTTTAATCATCAAAAACAGCCCTAAAGAATGTCCAACTTTCTGCATTTAGTTTATTGCCTCTTCCTAATATGAGTTAACTTGTTTCTCTGAGTCAGAATGAATATCTTCAAGTATTCCACAGTACACTTTTTTTTTAATTAATGAAGAATTCTTTATTTAGGTTTGTGGCAAATTTGAGCAAAACATACAGAATTTCCATAACACTCTGTCCCACCCATGCATGGCCTCTGCTGCTGTCAACATTCCACACAACAGTGGTGCATTTGTTATCATCAATAAACCTACATGGACACATTATTACCACCCAAAATACACAGTTCACATGAGGCTTCACTGTTGATGTTTTATATTCTGTAGGTTTGGACAAATGTGTGACGATGTAGATCCACATTATAGTAGTATGCAGACTGGCTTCACTGACCTAAAAATAGACTGTATCTTTCTCCCCTCTAATCCCTGTCCACCACAGATCTTTTCACTGTCTGCATAGTTTTGTCTTTTCTAGAATGTCACATAGTTGGAATCATGCCGTGTGTAGACTTTTCAAATTGGCTTTTTTCACTCAGTGATATACATTTAAGTTTCCTCTGTGTATTTTAATGATGTGTGTTAGTGAGGGAGCTCTAGAGACAGAGCCAATAGGATGGATGGATGGATAGATATATAGATAGAGATAGAAGATTGACAGATAGATGAATGGATAAGTGAATAGATAGATAAGACGGGATTTATTTGGGGAATTGGCTCATGTGATTATGGCGGCTGAGAAGTGTCATGATAGACCATCTGCAAGTTGGACAACCAAGGAATGTCAACAGTGTGGCTCAGCCCAAGTTTAAAAGCCTCCTAACCAGGGAGGATGACGGTGTGACTCTCAGTCTGAGGCAGAAGGCCTGAGAACCTGGGGGCTGCTGGTTTGAGTCTTGGAGTCTAAAGGCCAGAGAAGGTGAAATTCTGGTGTCCAGGGCCAGGAAAAGAAGGGTGCTCCAGCTCCAAAAATGAAAGTGCGAAATTGCCTTCCCTCTGCTATTTTATCCCATCTGGGTCCCCAGTAAAGTGGACGGTGCCCACCCACACTGAAAGAGGCCCTTCCCCATTCTGTTCAAGGACTCACATGCCAATTTTCTCCAGAAACACCCTCACAGACACACCCAGAAATAGTGCTTTACCAGCTACGTAGATTCCCTTTATCCAGTCAAGTTGACACCAAAAATTAACTATCACAGCATGACAGCTCATTTGTTTTTAGTGCTGAATGATATTCCATTGTCCGGATATACCCCAGTTTCTTTATCTATTCACATACTGATGGATATTTTGGTTGCTTCTAACTTTGGGCCACTGCAAAAAATGCAGCTATAAATATCTGTGTGCCCATTTTTATGTGAACATAATTTTCCAATTTATTTGGGCAATCTATTGTGTTTTTTTTTTAACATACCACAGTAGTTTTTGATGGTTTCCATGTAGTCCTGACTCATCTTACACATTTCCTTTCCCAAATCCATAGTGAGAATCTCTCTAATAATCCCTGGTTCTGTGCAACACGAAATGAGCAGGGAATGCAAACTGTAATGTCGTCTCATGCCACAGTTAGACTGTCTCTCAAAGTTGGCCATCAGGCATTCTGCTATCTTCTATTCTTTCTCTTGAGCATGTTATTTCTTTTCTCAAACGTTTAATTTTAAATGTTCAAGTTTCAGAATAAGCAATTCAAACACACAAAACATGACATTTCTAGTTGCCTTATGAATATTCCTAGCTCATTTTGGTTGAATGATCAACATCCTGCTTTTTAATTCTTTCTTGTGTCTTATTTTTATTAACTTTAAACTGTCTAGCTATGTAGATTCAAATCATTATGATTCTTCCCCAATTTATCCACCTTCATTGATGCCTATTACTTAACAGAGTAAGTGCAACTGCTTAGACTAAGCCTTACTTATTTGTCTGCAACCTGAATTTATACTCCTAGAATAAAAGCATAAATAAATTCTGTGACCCCTGGAAAAATAGATTTAAGCACTACAAACTTTACACCTCAATGGTAAACAACATGATCAGAAATATGACTAGCCATTGAAAAACTATTTGAAAATTGTCAAAGTTCCCTTTCCACAATAAAGTGATTTTTAATGCCATTTTATTTTTATAGTACCTTTGAAGCTGGAAGTACACTAGATAAAAAATTAATAGATAAATGTTAATCATAACATACATCTGACAAAATGAGTTAGATATTAAGGTTTGGCTTGGGCAATGTGGGTGCTTTCTTGGCCATTTAGCTAAGAGTAGTAAAGGTATTTTGACTAAAAAGTGTGATCTTACTACTTGAGTTCCACACTTCATTTCATATGTAGTAGATTGAGTTTAAGGTTATACATTTCAGTAGGTCAAATCTTACATACTTATATAAGATTCTGCGTTAATAATACTTAGAGTCTTGCCTTTTCTGCAATGACTAAAAAATATGTGAGTAGCATGTTAATATCAGCTCTTTGGTTGCATATCAGGATCATCTTGTAGAGCTTTTAGAAATACAGGCTGGGAGTGGTGGCTCATGCCTGTAATGCCTGAATTTGGGAGCATGAGGCAAGCAGATCACTTGAGGTCAGGAGTTCAAGACCGGCCTGGCCAACATGGTGGGACTCTGTCTCTACTAAAAATACAAAGGTTAGCTGGGCATAGTGGCAGGTTCCTGTAATCCCAGCTATTTGGGAGGCTGAAGCATGAAAATCGCTTGAACCCAGGAGGCAGAGGTTGCAGTGAGAGGAGATCTCACCACTGCACTCCAGCCTGGGTGACAGAATGAGACTCAGTCTCAAAACAAACAAACAAAATGTGTAGCTGAGGCTTACCCTATAGCTACTGGATTTGATTCCCCATGGGTAGTGACAAATAATCTGTTTTTTTTTCTCCCTTTTTAAAAAAAATTCTGAGTACTCTAGTTTTCATAGGACATTTGAAACTAAGGTTTTTGAGGCAACAATTTGATATGTTAACTAGAGAAGTAATATGTGGAACATAACCGGTATCATATCTAATATATGGTCAAAAACAGAGGCACAATAATCACCAAAGTAACCAAAACTGTTTATCACAATGTGGTTGGAAATGAGGAAAAAGATGGAAATTACCTCAATGTCAAACGAAAGGGGATTAGTTAAATGCATATAGTTCAGTCAGCTACTCAAATGCAATATGGCCATTATATGACAATTTAGATCTAAAGACACTGACACATAAAATATTTACTGTACACATTCTGTGCAAAAAAGAAAACACTAAGTAACAATGTGCACAATAGAAGCTCATTGTGAAACAATAAACATAGTTTTTCTTTTCTTATATAAATGTAAAAAATTTAATATATATTTTTATCTATATTTTCTTGTATATATATTTAATTAATATGTATTTTACATATTTTATTGTATATATATATTAAAAATTTAAGTCTGGGAAAATACACCATAACGGTAAAGTGCATTTTTTTTCTGAGTGGTAGGATTATGTGATTATTCTTCACACTTTACTTATTTCTGGATCTTTTTTATAGTAACTGTTTTTGTTGTTGTTACTCATATACTTTCATTTAGAAATTCACAGTCTGTTAGCTAATAACGAAATAATTGACATCAATGAAATATGAAGAAAGATGAGAGAAAAGTTTCTGGGGAAACCAGAGCCTCTGTGTCAGAGAACACAAGGCTGATAAAGTGTCTAGTCCTTCCATGTTGCCACTGTTAGAAGGCCAAGGTTACCCTGAGAGGACCACGGTACTCCGAGCATTGGTTTAGTAGTCAATAGTACCTAGTTTACCTGCTTCCTGATGTGAAGACCATATCCTGCCATCAGTTCTTACACAGCCACCTCTGGCTTTGCCATGATCCTGAACAGCAGCAAGTCCAGAGGTTGCACGGGAAGTGAAAAACGACTCAGATGCAGTGATCTAGGGTGAAGAGGAAAGGGGAGGAAAACCACCACCAAGCAACCTCCCCCAGAGGTAAGTAGTAGAAGTAACCAAATCACAGAAATAGACTGTTATTAATGTTTACCATATGCTTAATTATGACCACCTCAATGAACATAAACATTCATATAGGTCCAATTAAAATGTCTAATTTAATCGTTAATGACGTTGTTTCGTTTTTGTCAGATCAGTGACCTGGGCTCCTTATTTGCCTGAAAGAGTTGCCTGTTAACTCTTAAGCAATGGTATCTTAAACAAGGAATGTGTCATGGAAATCAAGTGTTGTTTAAGTGTAGCAGGGGTTTCCACAGGCAGACACTTGTAGTGAACAGAGTTATGGAGCAGCAAAAGCCCAGATCTAATTGGAAAAAGAGAAAAAACACATTGCGTTTTGCCTCAAATATAAAATACCATCCTCTCAAAGGTGGTTCTAAATTTCAAAGGACTTTGATTTCTAGGTAGATTCTGGGTGGAGAAGACATCACTTCATACTGGGGCATGAATGCAGTCTTTTAATCTGGGAAGTAATATGATTGGAGTTGAAGTTTGAGAAGATTAATCAGGCTTGGTTGCAGAATGAGAGAGAAAATGAAGTCAAGAGATTGCTTTGGGGGCCCTAGCAGGAGCTTCATCATATTTCAAAATGATCAAATATAAAAAAAAAATTATGAACTACATAAGCTGTATAAACTAATTTTCAGTGATTTTTTTTTTGATGGTTATGATAAAAGAACCAGATTGGCAGAAACTTTTACCCTGAATCAAGGGTTAAATTGTCTTTGAGCTCATCTTAACGGTAACGGAACATAGGGAGCAAACAATCGGGTGGCTGCCTCAGTGCTTGATTTTTAGCAGTTTTAAAGAGAATAGTTACATTTCTTCTCCTGGTAAGAAATAATAAATAAATAAAAAGAAATGAATTCCCTATCTCTTTGTACACCAGGCTATTTCTTCAAAACATTAAATGCTATTGATGGGATATCACCTTTTACAATTTGTGTTCATTACAATTCTCTTGTCATGAAAGGCAAAAGAAATATAGCATATATTAACGACTTTTACAGAAAGACTAATTCTAAGAGAATCATATCTTTAAATTCGAATTTATAATAATTGTGCTGTACATTATGGTTTCGTTATATGTGTATGTTGTGGAATAAGACATGCTCTTAGTTTTTCATTTCATTTATTCATTTTGCAGTTTACGTTATTGTCTCCTTTGAAGTAAAATTTAATAGGATGCTCTCAAATTTTATTGGGGGTTGACAGATGGCCAAGGAAAATGTTTCTTTTTTCATCAGAATACAACTTGTGTTTTGATTAACCTTTATGTGCTAATAAGAACTCTTTCAGAATGCAGTCAGAAAGGGCAAACAAGTCTCTTTCATAGAAATGATAACATGTCCTTTAACAGACAAGGAAATCCATGGGAAAGGCATGTTTTTGCATTTGTCACAGCTTCCTATAAACCAAGGATAAATCAAATGAGACAAGAGAGGAGCCGTTTTACATATGCTTCTTGATAAGATGATCTATTTTAGTCTTCCTCTCTTCCCTTCCTCTATGGAATTTTGCATCCCCTCCTGCTTTTAATGTTACCATACTATTGCATATGTATTTCTTACCATGCAATAACTCATATTTATTTTAAAGAACACCAGACTTGAAGTCAGCGGATCACAGGGAATGAGGGGGTTTGGATGTGAGGCCTTTTAAATATAATGTAAAGCTTATTACAGTCTATGTTGGGTAAAGGGATGGGGCTTAAAAGTATAATAGGGAGGAAATATTTGAACCACATTGCTGAAAGTAGCAAATATTTAAAGCATTTATATATGGAAATTTGAGTAATATATTAAATTTATGGTAAACTATTTGGGAAGGTTACATAACTCACATTTTATTATACCTTCTATATCCTATGCAGTTTAAAACACATGATGAGCCCATCAAGTTAAATAACCCAATGAAATGTGAACATGCTCCTTTGTATTGAAGTTAAATTTAGTGAAGGCCACCCACTTTCAACAACACTAAAACAGGAATATTCTGTTGTTGCTGTCCATTAATATTTTATTTTTCACTGTACAGGGAAGTGTGATTATATTGAGATAGGTTTCATAAATGTCCTATAAACTGTTATTTCAAAATGTGTAAGTTATATAAATCGGGAGTAGTAATTATAACTTTTACAAACAAATTCCCCTGTCCTGCATTATCAATTTAATGGAATATTCTTTAGAGTTCAAAAAGAAAATAAATAATAGTGTTGTTTAATATTGGAAATTCTAAACTTTATCTGAGTAAAAAAGGTGAAACAGCAGATGCCAATATTTTTATCTTATTAAAGCAAATTAAGAAATCCCCACTGAAAACTTTACATCTAAATGCCTGGTTCTTTGGAGAGACATCTGAGTCAGGCTGAATTAAGAAATGAAGCTTAATATTTATAGCCCTAAGAACTATGCAATGACTCTTAAATTTATGATTAACAGAAAATATAACAATTCTCTAAGGGGAAGAAGTCATTCAAAACCAATTTTCAATTCCCTAAACGTGTTATTTTTTAAAGACCCAGTAAGCCATGTTGAATATTTAACTTAATTAATAATTATAAAATGTACTGCTATGATGCATTCTGAGATATTGAAAGAGGAGTTTTACCATGCAGATGGAATAAAATTTCCATTCATTTACTTCTAGATGTGTAAACAACATTATTAAGTCAATTTACCAAATGAATAAATACTATCATGTGTAACAGTGTGGTAAATGGAGAAATTAAATATAAAAAGTAAAATTATGCTTTAAACATAGAAATCACATTCCCTTTGGTCTAGCATAATTGTAACCTGGTGGTCAAGAACTACAAATCAAGAAAGAGGATGACAGGGGTTTTAACTTCATTCCCCTCAGATTTTGACTTTTGATTGTCTCAATTTATATAATTTTATGTTGTCTATCGCTTAACACATTGCTGTAGCTATTATTGTTTTTGATAGTTTTGTCTTCTAGGCTTTGTACTAGTTATAAATGGATTGCACATCACAATTACGGTGTTTAAGTATTCTGGGGTTGTCTTCATGTTACCAATGAGTTTTGCACCTTTGAATGTTTTCTTTTTCCATGTTAGTGTTTTTGTTTTCTTTCAGAGTGAAGCATTTTCTTTAGCATTTCTTATATGACTGGTCAGGTGGAGGTGAATTATTATAAATTTTGTTTGAAAAAATTGTAACTATCTTTTCAGTTTAGGCATATATTTCTTACTTTGAGGATTTTCATTTGATGTTTTAGTTATCTCAATCTCTTCATTAAATATCTCTGATAAATTTCTGAGTCACTTTATTGTATTATCTTGGAGATCAGTACGTTTCTTTAAACTACTCTAATTACTGGCCAGAGAGTTCATGGATCACTGTCTCATTATGGTGGTCACTGGTTCCTTGGCCTGTCCATTTGGGGAGGTCATGGTTCCCTTTGTGCTGTTGTTTCTTGTGGATATGTTCCTGTGTCTTTTCATCGAAGGATTATTTATTCTAGCCTGTGGATTGCTTGGGATTTAATTGGCTATGTTAGCTTAGAGAGTCTTCATAATTTACCTATTGAATTTCTTATATTTTTTTCACCAGTGCCTTTGTTTCCACACTAGATGATGCTTAAAGCCGAAGTTTGCCTCAGCTCTAGTAAACGACCCTAGAGCACTGCTGGGGCAGAATGGGGGAGGTCCCAAAGGGGATATCCCAGCTGAGTGGAAGCCCTTGCAAGGGATTTGTGCCCAGAGAACCATGGAACATACCTCCTGTAGGGTGTTGCTGCCAGCAACCACTCTGATTTGTCATCTCCTTTGGCTGAGGGGCAAAGTAAAGTTTCCAGGATTGTGGATGATAGTCTCACCTCCCTCTTTGTCTCTAGATATGTCTCCCCTCAGGCACTCAGAATATTTCCATGGGTGGAGACATGGTCAGGTCTCCTGCAAAGAACCCAAAATGCTGAGGATGCTGGTTGTCACCATATCTCACTTTTTGCAGCATAGAAACCAGGAGTTGCAGGAAATTTTCTGCATGCTTGGTGCTACACAGACTGGGGTGAGGGGTGTCATGGATATAAAAATCGGATTCTCATACTGTTTGCCTGGAGATGTTATTTCTCTGAGACCTTGGGAATTAACTTCTATTTGAGTTCTGGGATATGACTGGTAAAGATCTCAGTGCCGTATATTTGGCTTTGGTTGTCTGGGGTAGGGGTCAGTCAAGCCGGCTCGTGTCTATGTCATCACTTCAGCACTGGAAGTCTGTATTTTATTCTTTATATAGACATATTATAAGCACATCTCTTATATTTAATGTATATATTTTCCAAATCTAACTCTAGTTTTGTGTTTACAATGTAATGACGACACTTATGTGTCTATCACAGTTCTAAGTACTTCATATAATTTAATGCTCATAATGTTGTAATATTATGTGATATTAAGTGATATTTTCTCCATTTTACAGATAAGAAAAATGAAGCATATGATATTTAACTGTCTACAGTTAAATTGTCTACGTAGCTAATAATTATGCAAGTTGGGATTTAATCCCAGGTCACAAGTCTCCATAACTTATATCCTTAATCACGGTGATACTTGGGTTAATACATGGTCCAGCTTCATTATAGTTATCACTGTTTGACACATGGCTTAATCCAGCCTGACAATCACCCACTGCAGTGGTTTCAAGTCTAGGATTTGAATATCCTATTAAAACAATATGTAAAAGTAAACTTATTTCAGATGGTATTACTTAAATTACTAAACCTGATTTACCAGTCACTAGTCTAAAATCATCTGTAAAATATTTTATGAATCTTGATAATAGTTATGCCCGTTAGGATATGGCAAGCATCTCTAATCCCATTATGTATATTGTCAA